CCTTCTCCTCGAACGTCGAAGCCAATAACATAATCATCTAAACATATTGATGTCCATATGACTATTAAACTCCTAAATCAATATGCCATGCGTACGATGAACCACAAGGATGTCATTGGATTCAATATTGTTGATTACATATTTGGAAGAGAGAAGATGAGTTTAACACGTGATGACATCATGCAATACTGCGAGATAATTGAAATAGGCTATATGTGTGTGCTCACATACATTTCATAAGTATATTAAATCTATTTCATATCTTAGATTCGTTAACTAAGAAGTTTAATGTTTTACAATTATATTTTTAGGTATCTTTTGAATGAATGTAAGGATGAGACATGTAAGAAGTTCTTGGTGGTTGACCCAGACAACATTGTACCACAAATAATGTCTCAAGAAACTTGTTCCAGACATCTAGCCAACAGGTTAGACATGGGTAACTTAGAACAAGTAGTACTCATCCCACATAACAGTGGGTAAACTAGCAATTTAACTTCATTTTACTTATTTATAATTTCTTTTATCCATGCATGAATGATAATATTATCATGTTGGTTATTAATAGTTTTCACTGGAAATTGTTTGTTATACATCTCTGAGAGAATTGTGTTTATGTATTGGACTCTCTAAGAAGTAAGATTGAAGAAAATTATAAGGTAATCATAAACACGTAAGTGCCTTGAACTCTTATAGTTGAAATTTTTACAATTATGTTATTCTAATGTTTCAAATTATTTAGATTATTGAAAATGTGGCAAGCCAAACATTCTACTCAACAATCTCGCAGTACTACAATTTGGAAACCTGTAAAGGTAAATTTGCATAAATTATAACAATGTCGCAGTAAATTCTTTGTATAACTCATAATTTTGTTATTTTTCAAATTTTCATAGTGTCCTCGACAACTAGGTTCTATCGAGTGTGGGTACTATTTGCAAAAGTATATACGAGAAATAGTGCGGAACCCTCATGCTACTATAACTGAACTTGTACGTATTATCATATACTTTTATGTGCTTATATATGATTTGTCATTATATTATAATTGTCTTTCTTTTTCTTTTTTTTTTTGTAGTTTAATACAAAAGTGCCTATCAACAAGAAGAAATCGACGAAGTTCGAATAGAATGGGCATCTTTTGTTGGACGATTTGTGTAGTACCTATGGATTCATTAGTTGTGTTTATTTGATGTAAGTATTTGGTTCAGACTACTTTCTGTGTAGTACTTGGTAGATTAGAAATACTTTGTCTTGTTTATAATATGTAGAAGTTTGAATGGTGTATATATGGTACTGCATAACATATTAGTTTTGGATTATTATAGAAGTATTTGACTGATGATGCTGAATGTGTTGGATTGTTTTGTTTATAATATATAGAAGTCTGGATTCTTATGCTGAATGTAGTTTTGTTGGAGGGACGGGCGGTCCCATTTGTTCTTTTGTGGAAGGGTGTTAATATAGAAGTGTTTGTTTTGTTTATAACCATGCTAGTTTTGAGTTATTCTAAAAATGGAGAGGTTATGTTGAAATTTGTACTTTTGATTATTTGTTTTTTGAGTTTAAGGTTAGTTCTTGAGTTAAGTTTTAGAAGATCATGATGTTGAAATTAGTTTTACTTGCCTATTAGTTTTTGAGTTTCAATAATATTGAGAATTGTTTTGTGAGAATAGGTTGGAAGAAGATATATTGGTTGGTTAGTTTTGAGTTATATTCTAAATTGGAGAGGTCATGATGAAATTTGTACTTACTTTTGATTGTTTGTGTTTTTGTTAAGCTTTTATAGAATAGGTTGGAAGGGAGAGATATATTGTTGGCTAGTTTTGAGTTATTCTAAAAGTGGAGAGGTTATGTTGAAA